AGCCATAGTTTTAAAGACTTTTTGGTAATAACAAAAGAGAATCCTAGAACTGCAAGCCTGGAAAATCTAGCCTGGACTACTCTCATTCCTTTGTGCAAGAAAATCCCCTCCTAAGAGTATAGGAAAACCCATTTCACCTACACACAAGAAGAGGATTGTGGTCAAATCTCATACAAAGCTTTTATAAGAGAAAGGATTATGAAGATGATAGTGTTCCTATAGGTAATGAATGCATTCCACAAAGACAGAACCACAAAACACTTGACCACTGAAACTTGATATTTCGAAACAAGCTAAAATAAACTAAGAAACCAACAGATGCTGGGAGACAAATAGCATAGATGAAATTGTTAGACAAAAAGAATATTTGAAAAGAGAGCTGACAGAAAGAACAGCTTACAAAAGGAAAAGCATTTCAGAAAAAAAATAACTAAATAGAATGAATAAAAAAGTGGATAGTCACCATGGATAATATTATCAGGTAAATAGAGGATGAAAAGGAGGAAAATAAAAAATAAAGTAAGGTAGAAATGAACAAAGATTTTTAAAAGAATGCAAGAAAAATTGATAGGCATAGAAGATAGACAAAGAAGGTCCAACATACATACAAGTCCCCAAAGAAGAAACCCAAAGCAATGGAAGAAAATAAATACTAAAAACAATAATTCAGGAATTTTTTTTTCTCCTGAAATAAAAGAGAAGACTTGAACTTGTATCCTGAAAAAGTATGCCAGGAGCCTGGAAATTCAACCCAGAATAGTCAACACTAAGACATGTCCAAATAAGCTATTAGACCTTAAAGAGAACAGAAAAAAACTATTTAACATACAGACAAAAAGAATAAGTACATAGTAAGGGAAAACAAGTTAGAATAGCATCAGACTTTCCTACAGAAGTCAATTAAGCAACATATTCAAGATACTCAGGAAAAAAAAAAAGAGAACCAAGGATTTTATATACAGCCAAATTTACTTTCAAGTATGAAAGCTACAGATCAACTATTATGAACATGCAGGAAGCCAGGAAATATAATTTCCCATGAACCTTTTTAGAGGAATTTACTAGGGAACAATCTTCAGATAACCAAATTGACTAGAAAATTATTAACATAAGGGCTGGGGTGGGCATTAAATTTATAGTCACCTGTAGTATTCACATCAAATAACAGCTATACAGAGCCTGGCACGGTGGCACACATCTGTAGTTCCAGCTACTCTGGGAACTGAGGCGGGAGGATCACGTGAGGCCAGGAGTTCAAGGCTGTAGTGCGCTGTGATCACATCTGTGAATAGCCACTGCACTTCCCCCGGGCAACATAGCAAAACGCCATCTCTAAAAATAAATAAGGGGAGAAGAAAGGCAGGCTATAATATAATAGGTAATGGTTGTTATGTTCTAATAATGCAGATACAGTCCAAGTATTAAAAATTAGAGGACAATGAAGAGTATGTATATGAAAAGTAGAATAAGTTCACAGATGGTTTCATATGTATTAACTGGAAACAAATAGATATTTCTTCAATTAAATGTTAGAGGAAAGAGAAGGAAGAGAAATAGAGGCTACTAGCTAATTTCAATATTCCTCACCACAGAGAACCAATAGACAATGTCTAAAAAGGGAAGGACAAAGGGTATTATATAAGAGTGCTGATTTAATGGTGACCGTCAGAATAAAAATGACAGGCTTTTCCCCACAGAGGTAGGGGAGTAAAATGGAAAAATAATTTGAGAACATATCCCCTTCTCACATGACTCCCTAGGCCAAACATGCCCTCTTTCCTCTCTTCTCCAATCTTGAAAGATATGCCTCCTACAGGCAGCCTTCTCTGGTTGCCCTAGCACAAATTACTCTTCCCCCTCACCTGTCTCTCCTAGGTATGGGGCACCTTGTTTTGTGAATGTTTTACCTCGCCTGAGGACGGAGATGGAGTGCTGTGTATAATTGTATGGTACCTCTTTCAGAGTCTGACACAGGGTTCTGCATACAGAAGGCACTCAATATAAATGCTGGTCCATCAGTAATTCAGGATTGATTGGAGGATTTAGGCTTACACCCTCTGGATTTTTCTAAGAGCTGAATGTCACTATTAGTATTCTTTCAGTTTGAAGGGACAGCAATACAACTCAAATTGACTTAAGAAAAAGAAGAATTTATAGGCCTCTAAAATTGACTATTCTAGGGTATATCTAATTTCAGGCATGGCTGGATACAGGGACTGAAGTCATATCACCAGTGTCTGTCTTTGCTGTAGCCTCTGCTTTTCTGTTTGCTGGCTTTGTTCTCAAGCAAACTCTTCCCTCGTGGTCAGGGATGGCTCCCAGCAGTTACAGGCTTAACATCTCCAGCAAAAAAGAATGTGTCCCATTTGCAATAAATAACTCCAGTAAAAGTCCCAGGATTGAATTTCATTGGCTTGGCTTGCATCATATGCTCATCCCTGAACCAATCACTGTGGCTAAGAGAAACACTTTGATTGGCCAGGCCTGTGTCACGTGTCCATCGCTAAATCTACCTCTGAGTGGAGAAGAGATGGCTTCCCAAAGGAAAACTGAGGTACTGTTACCTAAAAAGGAGAGATTGATGGATGCTGAGCAGATGAAACCAGCAAATATCCATTTTAGTGCTGATGGGCTCAATGAACAAACTAAAAGAAAAATTACCTGCAAATGAAAATCACCTTGGGGCACATCTTTGGGGTGTGTGGGTTGAAGCTCTCTCTGGTGTCTTCTAACGCACAGGGAGTTTATTCACATGGCGGGGAAGGGGCCACTCTGCTGAATGGTGGGGTCCGGTGAGACGCAGGAGCTGGCTTTCCGGCAGGCCTGGGGCTTCTGTCCCTCTGGCCCGCACGCTCGGCCAGGGCCCGGAGGAGCAGGGTGTTGACAGCAGGGCGGCAGGCTCCAGGAGTGTTTGTTAAGCACCGAGTGTCTGGCGAGCTGCCCCTGGGGTCTGGCTTTCTGTTTCCTGGGTTGGCAGTACTGCCTTTTGCTTCGCCATATGGTTTACTGGCCTTATAGGGTAGGAAAGGGACTCCACTGAGGTAATAAATGGGGAAACTGAAGCAAAACAGAAGGATTTAGAAATACATCCATTTCTCTCCTGAATCTTTAACACTTTTTTCTCCACTGGACCCTTCCTAGAAACATTTAAGCATCCTTAAGCTTCTACCATTTTTAAAAATACTTCCCAAATTTCATTTACCCATTTGCTACCATCCTATCTCCTACCTCCCCTTCATGGCAAAATTTCTTGAAGAGTTTTTGTTTTTGTTTTTGTTTTAGTATTCCCTCTTTCCATTTCCTCCTACCCACGTCTCGGTGCACTCCAGTTTGCTGGCATCCCAACACCCACCCCCGCCCCTTCCCCATGAAGGAGCTCCCCCCAGGTCCTCATTTAGCTCCAAGACTCTAAACCTGATGCGCCTGTGTCAGAGGAGGGAAAATGCTTTCATTTCTTAGTTTCAGAAGCAGTAGTATAATCTGCAATTTTCATAAATATTTGTTGAATGATTTAACAAATTTGAGCAGATCCAAGGTAGAATGATTTGTACCATGTAATCAAATCCCAAAGAGAGAGATAATACAAGTATTTTGCCTGGAAAGGGGAGAGTTCTGAGGTCCATTGGGCACCCGTGTTTTCTTTGAATCTTTAAAGAGCTGCCACATGGAAGACAGAGATCTGGTCCGGGTGACCCCAGAATGAGGAACCCAGGAAGGGGAGAGTTCTTCACATCCTAAGAAAGATTCTAACAGAGCTTTTAAGAAGAAAGGATTTATTCCTTAGGTGGTGAGGCCTCTGTCACTGGCGGTAATCAAGCAGAGACTATTCTGTCAGGAGTACTCAGAAGAGAGTCCTATGTTGGGTGACGGGTTACACCAGGGACTTCTGAGGCTGATTCCAAATCTGAAGTTCTGGGACTGATTAAGCATCTCTGAAGGAGGGCCTCCACTTCCCAGCTGTGCGGTTTTGGGCACATTCCTCAGCCTGTCTGTTCCTTAGTCTCTTCAGCTGTAAAAGGGGGCTAATAACAGCACCTACCACAGAGAGTTGCTGTGAATGTTCAGGTGCAGAGCGCGTAAAGGGCCAGGCATGTGCTTGGAGCACCGTGAGTGGTCAGTAAATGTTTGCCGTCTTTCCATTCAGTGCCACGCCCTGTCCTGTGGATGGCACTTGCTGCCCAGGCATGTGTCCCGTCGGCTGCATTTGCATTTGAGCTGTGGCTGTTCCTTGGTAACTTCTAGGGGCTGGGCTCAAAGAGAGCCCGGGGGAAAGCGTTCGAGAAGCCCCTGTCATGCCCCTTGTGCTCGTGTATACCACGCTGGCCTCAGCAGTTTTTGTCAGGGGGACCCTGGGGACTGAGAAAGTAGCCCTGCGTATGGCATAGGAAGCCTGAATGGGGATCTGTTTTGAAAGGTGATAAGGATTCTGTGGGCCTCCCTCCCCCTCCCCCTCCTCCTCCTCCTGCTGCGCAAATGCACCCCCTGGACAGAGTCTTAGGACAGTTTTCTCATGAGAGGCTTAGTCGCAAGGAAAGGAAAGCATTCGCTTGGCTTAGACATGACTGACTTACAAGCAGGCGCTGGGTCCCAGGGGCTTACACTCCTTATTGCGAGAATCCTTACAACAGTCCTGTCAGGGAAGTTCCTTCCCTACTTGGCAGGTGAGGAAAACTAAGCCTCAGAGAGGTTAAGTAACTTTTCCAAGGTCACACAGCTGAGGTCAGAGGCCTAAACATCCAAATTCTTGCTGTTGAGTGAGCTGTTATCCATAACCTGCAGCCAGTTCTGGAATGAATTGAGGACATTTATATTTAACCAAGCGGTCCCCAAGAATAGAACTCCTTTTAAAAGTGGTTGTGAGAAGGTTAGGAAGTTTGATTATCCCTTTGTGGAGTTTTTCCAGAGGGTAGGGTGTAGGTGGGGGATTTCGGAGACCAGGGCCACCCTCTCGCCACACATCTGACTTCTCTTTATGCCGATGTCTCTGTGCCTTCCTGCAGGTCTGGGTAGATGCTGGAACGCAGATCTTTTTCTCCTATGCCATCTGCCTGGGCTGTCTGACCGCTCTGGGAAGTTATAACAATTATAACAACAACTGCTACAGGTGAGCATCTCCCTGGACCCTGCCAGCTCTCCACCAAACCCCAGAGCCCTGCACGCTGCCAGGCCGGTTTATGGCCATCTCCCCACCTTCCCCTCCTGCCCCAGGAGGAGACACATGGGCTGTTGGTTGGCTTTCTCTGCCCAAGCGGCAAAGAGTGGGCCACCAGTGGAGCTGGGAAAGTAGCAGATGCACTAGAGTCTGTTCTAGGCTGCAAAGCGAATCCACCCCTGGAATCTCTTTCAGGTCTCAGTGTCACCCTGTATGGTAAAGATTTACCCCAGGGTGCATAAGCGACTTGCCGAGGTCACACGGCTAGTAAGTAGTACTTGAAGAGCCTTGTTCTTCTACCTTCTATTCAGAGACCTTCTTGCCCCTTCCCACTTGACTGTAAGGTCCTCTCCTGTCCCACCTGGAGTGGCCAATGACCCACATTGCCCCTCAGCCTAACCAGCCTCCCTGGCCTCCTGCAGCTGGCTGCCCCAGGCCTGGGAGGAGGTGCAGGGGGTCCGAGGCTGTCTGACCCTTGACTGCCTGACCTCTCATGCCTGCAGCCTGAGTTCTTGAGTGAGGCTGAGACCCACAGAGGGCAAAGGACTCGCCCATGGTCGCCCAGCAGCACATGGTGTAAGTTATGGTCGAGGCTGATGGTCTGTTTGTTGAGGTCTCTGCACCCCTGAACTCAGTGCCTGGTACACAATAGGTGAATATTTCCTGGGTGGATGGACAGTGTGTCTCTTCCTTAGAGTCTAAGATGGGCGGAGAACATTTTCGTGTTGGAAGGCCGCATTAACTTAGCTGTGATCAAATAAGCCCACGTTCAAGAAACTTCAATTAGATACACTTAAAAATGTACATTATTTTGTAAAAAATCTAACTACTATGTACTTAATAATTTCAAAAAATGAAAGCTATTTGTTAATTTTAAAGTTAACTAATCTTTTAACGACTTCGTTGTGTCTGCTTTTTGTTGGAAAGCATGTGAATATTTGGTAGTAGCATGGAGGTCCGCAGTTGCAGTTGATCCTCTAGAAGGGTGTCAGTCATTTGTGACCTTTAGGGCATCTCGATTTGGGTTAGGTAGGAGAATATAGATTTGCAGCAATAAGTGGTTGAAAAGCAAGAAAGCATTTTTCGGGCATGTTGCAGAAGGCATGGGTATTCTGCATTTTTCCATATTTCAATTGGATCTTTCTTAGCATTAAACAATGACTAAAATGTCATCTACTGAGAGCTCAATCAGTTCCATCTGTAGTTCTTTAGGTACCTTGGCGATATCAACCAGGTGAGGCTGAAATGCTAATTTGAATGTGATGTCATGGTTCTCAAAGTCAGTGAACCTTTCATGGTATTCTCCAATTAATAGGTCGATAACAACTGCGTATTCTTCAAATAATTTGCATGTATCATCCTGCTCTTCAATGACCTTTGCTAACTGGGGTAAATGTTTATCCAAAATTTCCTTTTGAAGAAGTATTTTGAAAAAAAGCTATCTTTTTTCAAAATGCTTGGGTTTTTTGCCACATATGGTGTATAGACTTAGTTTTACCTTACAAAGAAATATTCAAGTCATTTTGATTTGACATGATATCACAGAGAAATGCTGCATTCCTATAGAAATCTTCTTTCAATAATTCACAATGCTGATTCTGTTCTTCATAAAATTTAATGATCTATTCTCGCAGAGATAAAATTTTGGTTAACACCTGTCCCTGCGATAGCCAACACACTGCAGGATGATACGGCAAATCCACACTGAATACCTCATCGTTCAGCTTTATCGTGTTATGAAACTGATGATGCCGTCTTGTATTTGCACAAATATAGTTAACAATATTTATAACTTGTTACAAAGTGTCTCTTAAAACGATAGCTTTAGCACAGAGATTTTGCTGATGCAAGATACAGTGAAAAGAAATGAAAGCACCTGGATCTGTTAATACTTTTTTTATCTGTGCAATAAACCTTTCATGTTTTCCTGTCGTGGGTGGTGCACTGTCTGTACATACACTCACTAAATTTACCAAATTCAGTCCAACTTCACGACATTTATCTCAAAAGTTTTTGAAGGTATCTATTCCCTGTGTTCTCTTTGTAAGAGTGCCCAAAGTTAGTAACTCTTCATAGCAAAGAAGATCTTCTGTTATGACCTGAATGAAGTATAAAACCCATGCCAAGACAGTAGTATCAGTTGATTCATCCAAAGCAATTGAATAATAATATATTTTCCTTCTGAAGTGTTGCATGAAGCTATTCTGTTAAGTTGAAGGCTAATTCATGCTGCCTATCAGTTATGATTCTCCTTGAAAGAGGCAGTTGTTTGTACTTTCAAAGGTTATCAGGGTCTAAACATCCTACAACTTCAGTGATGCATTCTTTCACAATTTTCACATTACTGAATGGCTTTCCCTTTTTCCCGAGTAAATAAGCTACTTTATAAGTTGCTTCAGTGGCATTATTTCCAGGTCTTATTGCTGCTTGAAAGAATTCTCATTGCTTTTGCTTTTCATCTTTTAATTTCTGCAATACAACCTTTCATGCCTCTACCTATGATTTAAAATATTTATGATCCTTATAGTGTTATCCTGCTGATGAGCATTGAATTTCTTTAATGTTGATATTGCAGTATCACAAAGCAAGCAAATCATTTTATCTTTAGCAGAAACAAGATAATATTGCAATGCTCAATCCTCATTAAAAAATCTGTCTTCTTCCTTTGGAAGAAAAATCTGTTCTCTTGGTCTTCTTTGACATGATGGGCTGTTAAGCAGACAGAATTTAAAAATACTATTGACCTGTGCAACTATTCACAAATTCCACTTCAGACAGAAACACAGTGCACCACTGTCAAAAGCTGACAACAGACTGGTGCGCTCAACCCCCATAAACTCATACCAACCAGCCTTGGTGTGGTAGCGGCGCCAGTCAGGCGGGGGAAGTTAGAACTAAATCATGAGTGTAGCAGCCATCGATTTAGCCCTTATGGCTTACTAATGTTGTCATTGTGCCAGTCAATCTGAGAGGATTATTTCATTGAAACTTATTTTCTTCTTTAGCATTTCATTTAAAAAATAAAAATATTAAAGACGAACAAAAACGTATTAATAAAAATAAAAGGATTTGTTCTGTAAAATTTGGATTTAGTCAAAAGACCACACTTAAGGACCTAGAAAGCCACATGTGGCCTTAAAGCTGCAGGTTCCCCACCCTTGGTCTAAGAAATCCTTAATCAGGCATAAGATCATGGAATAATGACAGAAGAACCATCCCTGATCACACGTTAGTTGGGCAAAGAAGGGGTTTTTCAACAAATGATTCTGTGATGGGATAAGTATTGGGGGATAATAAATTAATAGATCCTTATACCTTATTCCATATATTCACCATAAGAAGTGATAGATTGATTAAAGAGTTAAATATTTTTAGAAAGAAACTATTCTATAAGTAGGAATAAAATATTGATTCCAGAATGGGAAAAATATAGAAAACATGAAAAATAATTAAAGAAATCACGAAGGAACTAAGTGACAGATTATTCCACATAAAAATATAGAACATCTAAATTTTTGGAAAGAAACTGAGAAAACTATTCAAAATAGCTACCTTTACACAATGGAACTGGGAAGTCAGGGGTAGGGAGGTGGGCTTTTTCCCACTTGTACTTCCTATGCAATTTAAATGGGTTTTTGTTTTGTTTTAACTCCAAGTACATAGTTCTTTTATAATTTAAAAAAATCAAGTTAATATAAATATCATCTACATACTTTATCTCTAAGTAACATATGAAAATCATCTGCAAAATTAAAGGGCATACTAACAACATATACTAAAAAACTTAAGGGGTTTATTATGTCCATAATATGTAAAGAATATAAACAGATCAATATGGAAAACACTAAAACACCGATAGAAAAATGAGCAGCATGCTCTTAAAATAATGAGTTTGTTTTTCTCAACCAGCAAATTGGCAGTGGTCTAAAAATGAATCCTAATCCATATAGATAAGGGTACATGAGAGGGCCATGTCACACTCCACTGGTGGGATGAAACTTGGAACTAACAACCACATCACCTGATCATTGTGTGGTTCAAGTGGGATCATGCATTTGAGATAACTTTTGTAAATGACGCCTGTTGCAGCCCTCTGGAAGCTAGCTTAGGGACCGCTTCGTTAGCTCATTCCATAAGTCAGTAGTGCTCACTGTGTCTACTCAATGTGGGGCGCTGGGATCGCTGCTGCGGGAGAGCCAGACAGCAATGGCAGTCTATAGAGTTTGTATTAACACTTTGGGGAAACTGAAGCACTGAGGAAGTCAAAGTGGGCAGGTCCAACATGCTGAAAAGAAAAGCTATAGCAGAATCCAATGTGCCGTAAGGCAGCGAATTCTGTTCCTGGGGGCCTTTGAGCAAGGTAGTTGGGTATTTTTGGACGACAAAGAGATGCCATAGAGAGCAGGAGGGTCAGACCGGGCTGTCCACAGAAAGCCTCCAGGCTTTGGCAGAGGATGTGCATCTGGGTGGTGGGAGGTAAAGTGCTTTGTCGGCCACGATACAGAATGTTAACCACGGACAGGAAGAGAGAGGCACTTGGATAGGAGGAAGAGCACAAGCAGGCTTCCGGTCTGGGCTGAGTCCCACCCCCTTGGGATACCGGAGAGAGATGCTGTCCGCATGTAGTGTTCACCTCGTCTGTGGCTGACAGCGCGGGGCCCTCCTGGCCGGGCGCGGCAGAAATCACTTGGTCCCTACCGCCTCTAGCCAGGCTGTCGACACCCTGAGCACACAGGCGGGGCGTTCTTGGTCTCCACTGTATCCCTTGGACTTAGCTCAGTGCTGGCTTCCATGCGAGGAAGTGAGAAAGGAGCCACCCTGTTACGCAAACGAGGAAACGGTGGCCCATGGAGGTTGTCACTTGCCAGTGATGGAGTGTGGTGCTTCACCGGAGTCTCCCTGGCTCCTGCACCACTGTTCCTGGCTTCCGAGGATGGCCAGCCGGTTCTCTCCCGACTCCTGGAGTTAAAGAGGACTGGGCCAAGACTGCCTCGTCTCCAGCCCACGTCTGGAGGCAGCGGCGGCTTTCTTCCCCGTTGAGCGCACGGTGCTGTGTGCTGGCCTCTGCGGATCCTTCTCTCTCCCACCCGACAGGGAGGGTTTTCCTCCCTCTCTGCCATCAGCGGAAGAAAGCGAATCCCCTGGGTGATACTGCAAAATCAGAAGGTTCATTTCATTTCCGTTTCCAAATTATTCTGCAAGTGGGTCTTCCCAACTCAGACGGAGCCAATTACCCTCTCTGCTGACAGCGTAATAGCCTCTGGAGGTCTTAAAAGCCCAGCTCGGCTCCTGCCGACTTCAAAGCCCTGTTACATAAGCCTGTCACAGAGACGTGGCAGCAGGGGAAGGAATTAGAGGGGTGGAATGGAGCAAACCAGGCAGGGAAAATCCTCCCTTCGGAAGACATGCCGCAAAGTTCCATCTGCTTGAAGGTGGGGGTGCTCCCGGGGCCGGGGAAGAGGGGGCAGGTCACGGGGCTGGAAGGGACCTCAGGTCCCTGAAGTGCTCCTCTGTCCCTCGGTCTGTCTCTCTGTGTTGTGAGGAAGTCACTCAAGAGGCCTCCGCAGGAAGATGGGGATTTCATCACAAGGGACATTTGTTTTTCAACATCCAGGTGGATGCCCAGTGATAACTTTCAAGTCAGGATTTGGACATCTTAATTCTTAGGGTGCATCATGTTTGTTTAGCTCCTAGAAGGATCACAGGCTTTGGTGTCTGACACGACTGGATTCACATCCCACATTCACCGACTGACTGTGACACCTCGAGCATGTGACTCGCTTGCCCCAAGCCTTGGGGTTCAGTGAAACCTAGCGTGGGGCCTGGGGTACTACAGGTTCTTACAGCAGGGGACAGGAGAGTTCCTCCATGGGGCAGAAGTCAGGGCCGTTTTGCTTCAGACCTCAGGAAACAGGCAAAGGAACAGATTTATACTAACCTGAGGAATAATTCTGCCCTTCCCTGGACTAAGCTAAATTTCTTTTTGAGCAGCGATGAATCCAGCTTGCAGACAAAGTCCTCAGGCCTCCCAGCCCAGCCAACGTGCACAGTGGCAGAAGAGTTCTCTGACGGGACCTGTGTCACTTACCCGCTGCCACAGTTCTGCTGTGTAACGAACAGCCCCAGCACGTGGGAGCTGACCACAGGTGTCTGCTTGCATTGCTCACAAGCCGCCAGGCAGCGGGGGAGGCTCTCCTTCAGGCTGCGGGCTGGGGGCTGTGGCTCCAGGGGCCAGGCCAGGTGCAGGTCTGCTCCATGTACGTACCTTCTGGGGTCCAGGCGGAAGGGACAGCAGCACCCCTCGGAAGTTCTTCCCATGGAAATCGCAGAAATGATACAGGACAAGTCCAGTCATGCGAGCACATCTCAAGCCTCTGTTTGCGTCACGTCTGCTAACGTCCCCTTGTCCAAAACAAGTCATGTGGCTAAGCCCAAAGTCTGTGGGGTGGGGAAATATACTCAACCCTGAGGACAAAGGGTGGGGGAGTGACTACTAGATCAACAATAATCCGATCTAGTGCAAGGTCCAGGAGACCCTGTTACCCACGCACCTTGTCCTGTAGCCGGTGAAGTGCGGTTCAAAGAGAAGACAGTACAGGGAGAATTGGAACCCAAGGCTCCTGACCTCCAGTCCAGTGCTCTGTCCATTACACCCTTATTCCTAGGGTCATCACAAGGCAACAAACAGGGTGTTACAGTCACCGACAACATTAGTGTGACCTTTGGTTGTATTACAAAAAGTATGGTGTCAGGAGAAGAGGTTAGAGTCCTCCTAGGATCCTCGAGTCTAGTCCTGGATGTGACAATCGAAGGGGGGCTGGACGTGCTGGAGTGTGTCACAGCCTGCGAGCGAGGCCAGCCCGCCACCCACAGGGCATGCCTCAGGCAGGAGGTTGGACGAGGTCACCCAGGAGCTCTACCCCTGTGAAGTGAGGGCACCAAGGTGGACTGAATGACTAAATCCCAAGTCCAGGCACTGCAGCGGCTGAGGTTCTAAAGGGCTGATTCCCTGACTTGGCCACATGAGGATGCCGAGCCCAAGGTGGGGGACACTGGGACTTGAAGCTACCGTCTTCATCTTGACAGAGCGCCGTTGTTGCAGTCCCATTTCTCCTGAGTCATGGCTTCAGGCTGGTGAGTCCCTCCCAAGAGCAGGGGACAGTCACTGCTTCAGTAAATCTCTCGTCCAACCTGGAAGGGGCTGCCCCGTCACAGCAGGAGAGCAGGGACTGAGCAATGGGTCTGGCAGACGCTGCTCCCAGGAACAGCGAGGCCAGGATGGGCATGCGATCCAGACTCTCCTCCCAGCGGCTGCTGAGAGCGGCAGGTGTGGGGTCCACGCTGCTCTGTGGCTGAGGAGCAGCTGTTTCTCACGCAGAGGCGTCTCTTGCCCTCCTTGCATTGGGCTCCCGGGAATAGCGTCCTCCTGCTTTCCCCAGCCATCTCTCCACCGGAGATGTGGAGGAGTGTTGGTCCGTCTCCAGGGACTGTCTCACGTGCCAGCCTTCCTTCCTTCCCACCCCCACTCTATGCGTTTAGCCTGTGACCTGCCTTAGCTTTTAGACGTGCAGGAGAAGCTGTGTGACTGTGTGCCAGCTCTGACCCACAAATGCTCCATCCCAAAACGGGGCGTCTGTGCCGCACGCACTCCCCTGCCCGCGCTGCAGGACACCAGGCGCTCAGGCGGAGACTGTGCCTGTCCCTCCCCGCACCCAAGCGCCTCTTGTGCTTCCCCGCAGGGACTGCATCATGCTCTGCTGCCTGAACAGCGGCACCAGCTTCGTGGCGGGCTTTGCCATCTTCTCGGTCCTGGGCTTCATGGCTTACGAGCAGGGGGTACCCATCGCCGAGGTGGCAGAGTCAGGTGAGTTTGCCAAAGGTGGAGATGTACAAGGCCAGGGCAGGCGAGGGAGGCTTTGGGTGGTGGCTGCAGTGAAATATGGTCCTCCTCAGCCCGCTCACCTCCAGGGTTCAGGTCTCAGGAGGCGGCCCCAGCAGCCATCCATGATCCAGGAATCACCTGGAAGGGAAACCTTGATGCCTGCTCCCTCCTGAATCCAAGGCGTCCCCAAGCACTGTCGACTCTGCACTCCACGCCCTTCCCCCAGTCTCCCGACTCTCCCCGCTAGGCTGCGCCGCCACCGCCATCGCCGCTCACCCGGACGCGCAGGAACCTGTCGCTGGACTCAGCCTCTGCCACTGTCCCTTCCATTCCGTGCTCTACCCCACAGAGTGCTTTTTCCCACATGCAACTCTGAACATATCCTCCTCTGATGCAGAGTCTTTCCTGGCTTCTCACAGTGCCGGGCTCTTAGCACAGCCACGAGGCCGGACGCTGCCCTCTACTGTGGCCTCACCGCCCACCTCAGGCCCCGACCTCGCTCTGCCCCACCACGGTGGTCTGTTTCACTTCTGCAACGTGCCTCACGGCCTTCACGCACACTGTTCCTGTGCTCGGAGAGCGTCTCTCTCTCTCTCTATTTCCCAGTCCCAGGCATAGCGTCCCCATGAGTGTGACAGCCTGAAGGTGCATACTGACATGTCGGCTGTGCCCAGCCTACCACAGGCAGGGCTATCGTTGAGGTGATTGTGCAAAATGCAGGAAAATTCTTCCCTTGATTTCCATGGTGCTTGAATTCCTGGGAATTTCAGTGTATATGAAAAAGTGCAAAACTAGTTTGGCTTTACTGCCACAGGGAGTTGGATTCTGACCTCAGACAAGTATATGTAGGTTTTTCACCTACGGGCATGTTCAGCAGGACAGTTAGTTGAGAGCAGCGCAGCGCATCTGGCCTCCCTGGTCTCCATGCTCGTGGCCAGTTCTGCGCCTGCTCCTTGCGACAGCCACACTGCCTCCCTCAGGAGCGCTGGTCCAGGTTGTGACTGTTTGCATTTGGCCTGCAGTGGGGGAAGCACCACTCTGATCCACCGAGCAGGGCAGACCAGTGGGTGTGGACATTGAAAGAGGAAGCTGGTTAGAGCTCTGCTCCCTGGCTGCTCAGGGTCCACTGTCCTTTTGATCATGTTTAGCAGAGACACAGATGAGATCCCTGCTCAAGTCAGGCGTCCAGAGCTAGACCAGGGGATGCTAGTACGATCAGACCACCGGGTGCCAACTCAGTGGGCAGAAACTGTGTCACATGTTATCTCGTGATCTTTAACTCAGCCCTCTGAAGTTGCACTTTTTCTATCCCTATTTTCAGACGAAAAAACTGAGGTTCAGAGAGGTGAGGTCACTTACCTAAGGTCACATAGGCTGGCAGTGACAGAGCTGGAACTTAACTGAGCTCATGCTGTGACCACTCCATCCCACTGTGGCCGAGTACCTGGCACTTCACAAAATACCACTACCTTGTCCTCACTCTAAACCACGGGCAGCCCTGCACGGGGGGTCATGACCTTCTCAACAGGAGCTTCACTCCATGTTGAGAATCCATTTCCACCTCTAGAAAATGAACGTCCTGATTCCCTCCTTGCGGCGTTAGGTGAGATAATATATCTACAGCGCTGTTGTTATTCTTCCTGTCATTACTGCCATTTTATAGGTGAATCCCAGAGAAGGTCATAGAAAGGAAAAGAGCCAACTAAAAGTAAATTTTGTTGGATTTGGATTTTTCTCATTTAAAATTGAAAGCATATTCACTATAGAAAAATACAGAAATATTGACAAAGGAAAACAAGTTCAATCCAAATCCAGTACAGCACTTTGGGGTTAGCCTGCAAGATTTTTCATGCATATGTAGCTATAAGTGTTGTGATCAAAACTGGAACATATTATCCTTGCTATCATGTAGGCTGAATTTTTCCACTTACAATAAAACCTGAAGAGCTTATTTCTCAGTAAAAGGAGATCTCCACCATGAGGTTTTGTTTTTTTTTCCAAGACAGAGTCTCACTCTGTTGCCCGGGCAAGAGTGCCGTGGCATTAGCCCAACTCACAGCAACCTCAAACTCCTGGGCTCAAGCAATCCTCCTGCCTCAGCCTCCCAGGTAGCTGGGACTACGGGCATGTGCCACCATGCCCGGCTAATTTTTTCTATTTTTAGTTGTTTGGCTAATTTCTTTCTATTTATAGTAGAGACGGGGTCTCGCTCTTGCTCAGGCTGGTCTCGAACTCCTGAGCTCGAGCAATCCTCCTGCCTCGGCCTCCCAGAGTGCTAGGATTCCAGGCATGAGCCGCCACGCCCGGCTCCACTGTGAGTTTTAATGGCTGCATGGCGTTCCGCTGGATGGACGTACCATAACCGATTTACTCCATCCTGCCCTTCAGGCCCTAGGTTAGTTGTTTCTCATATACTACCTCATGAAATGCTCGTGGCATCTTTGCAAGGTAGGCTTTATCAGGGCCTCCACTCACAGGCTGTGCAGACTGTGCCCTGCACAACTCCAGCAGACACTAGTCATGCAGCAGCTCTGGGCTTTATAGCGCCCGTTACAGATGAGGATTCTGTAGTTCAGAGAGGTGAAGTGGTTCACCCAGGATCACACAGCTCGTAAGTGGTGCAGCCTGGACCTGGCTTCTTCTGCCTCACTTTCTTGTGTTGCTCCTGGCGCCAAGCAGGAAAGCTTGCTCTGTGCCCCTGGTTGGGAGTGAGGATCAGAACAAGATCCTCTTTAGGAATCTGCCATTAGGAGAAATGCAAATTGCAACTAAATATGTAGCCACCTCACCTTTCTCAGAAGGACCTGAGCTCACTTTCTGGGGAATGGTTTTTGGAAGATACTTAATTAGATGCCAGAATACTCAGTGGGATATCCCAGCACACTTGGGAGACTGAGCCAGGGAGACAGGGTGCAC